TTGCACTTAATTGAATTGATGCCCATTAGAAGGAGGATCGAAACCTATGCCGGTAAGGGGCTTCTCGAGGAAAGACAAGTTGTTAATTCACGTGGCCCTGTTCTAGGGACATATGATGATGTTGTTGTCATAGATTTAAGTGTTGATGAAGGGAAGAGGAATATGGAAACTAAAGTTATTTTTATATATTTATATTTATATTCTTTCGTTTTTATTACAAATAATTAAAAAATTAAATTTATTTTTTATGTCAGTGTGTCACATAATATATGATATGGAAAAGTGTTTGATCAAATATCACGTGACAAATCTTGTGACATATAATAAATGTGTTAACATTATTAATATAAACTAATGAATAAATACTAAGAGGAACAATTTTTGAAAGCATGGAACCTAAAAAATTAAAAGATGAATATATGAAGGCCAAATAAAATAAATAAAGTAATTGAGGAACTAAAATAGAATTAAACCTCTGTCTAACAAAGAGCAAGAGTACAATTTCATCCATTGTGATTTAATCTTATTCAATCTTACACTAATTTTATATGGTAATTTAATAATTATATTTTTTTTAATTTCATTTTACATAAAATTATTAGTTTTTTTATACTTTTGTTTTATTTTTTAATATATATATATATATATATTGTTTGTTTAACTATAACTTCTGCATTCAAATCTTTAAAAGTTGAAACTACAATTTTTTTTATATAAAATTAACAATATTTTAACTTCTAAACTATGAAAACTATTTAGCTAAAAATTATAATATATTTATCTTTTAAAAAATAAATTAATTTATTCTAAATTGATAATAGAAATATGGAGTTTATTTTTTAAAGGCCCGGAATTTAAAAGAAAATAAAGTCATAAATTAAATGCGGAAGTAAAATAATAGAGTTTAGGGTTTACATTTCTTACACAATAATTTAGAATGCGCAATAGAATTACGAGAATATCTATTTTAAAAGAACAAACGAAAATTAAAAAAAATAAACAAAAAGTAATATACTGAGCATTTTAGGACGACCTTCACTAACTTTTGAAGGGAGTCCGGATGGTGAACTATTCACAACCCTCTTGTTGATCGGAATTTGGGTCTTGATCCTCTTGATTTGAAATAGTTAATGAAATAGCGAGCTATACTGGTATAGTAAGAATATCACACTACTCATCGATACAAAATCTGAAAGTTGGTAAAAATCATAAAAACAACCAATTGAACTCTTGATTTAAATAAATTTATTTATCATAAGGAAAACCATTTATTGCATATATTTACAGTTGCGAGATTTTCAAAATCGACTTATAGAGACAATAACTCAAATAACATTCTAATCTTATTTTTAAGTGACCAATAACAACTACTTTTTCTTCTTAATTGTTTACTGGTATCCTTGAGGGCCCATAAGAATGTCCCACTACGCGTGAACCAATATCTAACATTATCAATTAATCGGCTGTCTCCATACCATGTCCGCTATGAGCGTCAAAAATATCATCCCTCAATACTCCATCTGATATGAGGATGAATCAGGTCGTCCCCATATCCCGTCCGATATGAGCACCAAAAATACTATTCATTGATACCTCGTTCAGTATGAGATAACGTTTACGGTAGGATTTCCTATATACCTGGTCCATCTACCATCTCCCAAGATATCCAATAAGACTACCATTCATTAATTCATATGATCAAATAATTTTTTGTTTGCATATTAATTGTCAATTTCACAAATCAACCGTAAATCACTTAAGACAACCAGTATATATATCAAAGAAGTACAACTGAATCATTTAATCATTCTAGTATATCATCATGTATTTAAAGCTATAAATTCAACAATTAGTTAAACATGACAAATAAATAACTAACCAGTTCCGGCTCCATTAGCAACTTATAATTATTCTCAAAAATTTTTAAATTACACAAAATACCATATTATCGATTATTAAACTTCAATTCCATAACATAAAATAAGGTGAAAGATTCTTACCCCAATCGGTGTTCGAAATACCGAACTTTCTACTGCGCCTATTAGCGATCCCTTGGTTTCTTGAATTTTTCTACGGATATTAAAACAACTTCACGTACCTAAAAATATCCCAAAATATTTTGGTGTTAAAAATTTTTTTCGGTCAATTTTAAAATTCTGACACGGCGGCACCGTCGTGCTTTGGCGACGACTTGCCTCACCCTAGTTATTTTCGACCAGTTTTGACTGGTTTCGATTGGTTTTATAACCACCCCTGTGAGAAAATATCCCAAAATATTTTGGTTTTCAATGTAGCGGTTCTACCGGCTCACCTTCACAGCTGATTGTTTTTCTTTAATTAACCTATAGAAAATAGAAAGGTGAAAATAATGGTGGAAAAAGCGCACGAAAAGAGAAATGGGAATGGGCTCATCGAATGAGGTTGCGGGTTTTACCCGCGGCGGCGCCGCTGGCTTTGCTCGCAGTTTCCGGCTCGCTCGCTGTTCCTTTTGCTTTGATTTGGTCATGGGGAAGCTCAGAATCAAATTCCGAGTGGATAGGAGAATTTTTACCTTTTTACCTTTTTTAGCGATCGAATGTGGCTCCAGTGCCGCTGCAAGCGGCGGTCGGCTCCCTTCTCCGGCGATTGATTTTTCTTCTCCGACAAGAGGCTATCGGCTAAAGTTTGGGTTCAGTGTTATGTGAAATATTTATACACATCTCACGTTAATCTGGATCGCTCATTGCGCTTGATCTCGACCGTCTGATCGCGTTTAAAGAGAAAATAAATCTGAACCGTTCATCGCGATTTGATCTCAACCGTCCGATTGCATTTAAAGAGGGAACGAATCTGGACCGTTCATTGCGTTTATCGCAACCGTCCGATCAAGTCTGAGGGAATAGATCCGATCCGTCCACACACGCAAGAATGCTTTCGGAATGTCTAATTGCGGGGCACGCGGATCGCCAATGTGGCCTCCCGCTTGGCACCAAGTCAGCGTGCCATGTAGCACGCTCCAATTCGTCGAGACTGCTGACTAAGCGGTTCTACGTGGCGCAATTTTTTTAAATTGTGTTCTGACCCATAATTTTTTATTTTTCTTTCAAAAACATCATCTGAACCCAAATTTTCATCATTTTTTTTTCAAAATTATTTTCAATTTAATTATCAACCTATTTTTTCCATAATTTCACATTAAATTAAAATTTATTAATTTTAAAAATAAATTTTTATATATTTTCCTTTTTGTTGAAATTAATCCCAAACCAATTTCATGCCTAGGTATTACATATTCAGTAATCTATGTTAAACGAAATTAAATTATGAGTTAAATTTCTCGTAACATATAGTGTAAACTCTATTAAATAGATAGTTAAATATTTTTATTGTTATTCACAATTTAGGATCTCGTAAACTATAAGCATAATTTTTCATAAGAAGTTTGCAATACCAATATACATGCACATGTCTGGAGGGTCTAGAAAACCCATAACATTTCGCATGAAAGCGTCAATAGCAACCGAAAGTCTTGATCTCCTTTTTTTAGTGTCGATATCAGAAGTTAAAGCTTTAACCCATGGCTTGAAAAGCTGATTGTAATAGTTAGCTTCCTGGTCTGATAGTCTCAGTGTGAATCTACCATTACAGTCAGGACAAATAGGTAGTTGGCCTTAACGTACAAAGCGAAGGTTACAACGGTAGCACCAATGGGTAAAGCCAGTAGGTCACGACATCTTTTTTTTTTATATTTTCTGTATAAAATGATCAAATAATAATAATAATAATATTTTTAAATTAAAAAATATTAAAAATTCAGTTTTCGACATTCCTTTTCTTTTAATTTTAAGCATCAATATTAAAAATATATATATATGAAAAGTAAACTAAATCAAAAAGTTGAATTATAATTAAATATATATTTATATATATATTCTCAATTTAGACATCTATATTTATGTTAACAATAATGATAATAATAATTATAATCATTAGAATATAAATTCTCAAAGTAAAGAAAAATTCAGACAGAGCAAATAAGACATGAAAAAACATAAATGATCATCTTCTAATTTCAAATGTGCGTATTCAATGAGTACCTAACTTATTCATATGTATATAAATATATATATATATATATATATGCGTGTGTGTATGTGTGTTTGTTTGTACAAAAAAAACCTTATGTATGGAATATTTAGAGACTTGAAACTTAAATGTTTGCTCAATTCTAGGTACGCATCATTTAAACTTAAAATTCAACTTTTACGGTCAACTTGAAATACAACACATTTATAAGGACTAATATTTTATTTACTGATAAGTTGTACTGAAGAAATAAAAAATTTAATCTAACTTCAAATACTTTTTCAAATAATTAATACTATAAGTTCGAGTTTTATAGTAAACTGAAAAATAAAGAAATTTAACTGTTCGTCAATAATTAGATTACGAAACTCCCTAAACTAATGGTGGATTAAAGCGTTCTCATAATCGAGGATTAAATGAATGCAAAACTCGACCAAGATATTATGG